CACTTTCCCTGAGACAGCTGCCTGGGAACACAGTCCACAGTGGCAGCGAGATGCACGAATGTTGACTCTTTAGGGACCCGCAGCCAACTATTACAGAAAGAGAAGGAATTACATCACTTGGAGGCTGGGGTTCCATGGTGAGAATATCCCAAGAAGCGACTCTGAACTGAGCTGGTGGACACAATAACCCTGTTGCTACTAAGGTGAGACGACAGCTCATCAGTCACCAGTCAGGGTGTTCAGAGACGTCCCTCCCCTCTGGCCTGTCAGGGTTAACGTCTCCTGTCTGTGAGGCTCCTGCAGACCTCCAGCCAGCTCCCAGCCCCTACAGCCGCTGTCTGCCCGGCCTTGTCACATCTCCTGCACACGCCAAGGTTTAGTTTTCCTCCAAACACCCAAGTAGTTTTTCACCACCTACTCTGAGCACATCGCTCTCACCATGGGAGAATTTACACTCTAGAAATTGGCAAACACCACAAAGCTGGGATGGATTGTTTTTCCGAATGCCTGGACTTAAGAAAACGATGACATAATGGAATGAATGTGCCCTAGACTTAAACATGTAAGGTGTTTTGGTCCATGACAATGGGTAGGCCACAAAAACCTAATGTACTTAATGAAAAAATAGCCTTTTAGTATTACCATGACACTACAGAGAAAAATGTAACACCAGGTAAGAATGAGAAAAACTCTAACATTTATTTTTGTTGTGTGCATGGCTTATTTGTAATTGAAAAAGAACTGGCCATAACCACATCAAAGAAAGTAGGCAAGTGAAACAAACACAAATTGTATGAAAGAAGACATACAGGTGGTAAAGAAACTCAAGAAATAACGCTGAAAGTCAGAAATCCCTAGGAAATGCAATTACAACATAGCACTGCACACATACTAAAAGGGCTGACATTAGATGTCCTATGAAGTACTGGGAGGGGCTGGAAATACTAGAACTCTCATACACACCTGGTGGGAATGCAACAGCGAATAGTTCAGAACTCATGGCACCCCTTTGGCACTTTCAGGAAAATGTTAACACTCACCTACCTGTACCTAGCCATTGTGCTTCAAGTTTTTTTTTTTTTTTAATTTTATTTATTTTATTCATTTGACAGACAGAGATCACAAATAGGCAGAGAGGCAGGCAGAGAGAGAGAGGGGAGGAAGCAGGCTCCCTGCAGAGCAGAGAGCCCAATGTGGGGCTCGATCCCAGAATCCTGGGATCATGACCTGAGCCGAAGGCAGAGGCTTTAACCCACTGAGCCAGCCAGGCACCCCTGTGCTTCAAGTTTTAACAGAAGTGAAATGAAAGTTATCCACATAAGGAATTATAATGAAAATATATAGAGGGATTTGTTTGTGAAAGAAAACACTGGAAAATAACCCAAATGCTCCAAACAGATGAAGACATCAATAGTGGTATACATCCAGAGAAGAAAACAGTACTGTTGAATATAAGGGACAGACCTGCAAAATGACCTCTGAGCCTTCAGACCAAACAAAAAGGTTGAAAAGTCCACCTGGAGGAGAAATGGTTTATTTATGGAATTTGGGACAGAAGATGATCTTGAGCAACCTTAACAGGAGTAGGACTCCGTACCACCTCCTCCAGAAAGATCTGCGTTCTTAGCCCTAGAGGCTGGGAGTACCTGGGAGACTACCTAGGAGGAGGATGGTTCAGAGCAAGTGTCTGCTAGTCCTTCAGGATTCCAACAAGTATGCTGGCTGGGAGGGGTCACAAAAGCTACATCCCTAGAGGATAAATTCTCCTTTGTCTTTATCCTTTTTCCTCCTGCACCACTATGGCCTTGACAGGTAAGCACCACAGAGGACAAAAGAAATCAGAGACTTGGATTATTTTATGACAGTGACCTCAGCCAACCAGGATATGTGTGTCTGAAAGTGGAGAATTTCTGTGCACACTGATCCTTCCCAGCCAGTCACTGAAACATCTGAGGGCACACTTTTTTAAGAGATACACACCACTTAGGTGGCTGATGTCTCCTCTACTCCCTAGTTACCCAATCATCTAGATTACCAATTACAGTCCCCCTGCCCCTGTGGAGTTCCAAGTGGAAACTGCACAGCCGGTCACAAGGCTCCTGTGAAGGATGTGGGTAGAGATTCCACTCAACAGCGCCCGGCAGCCTGGGCTATCAGCTGTGGACAAGCAAAATATTCTTGTTTCTACAAGCACTGGAGAAGGTCTCAAGTGCTCCCTCTTCACGGTGACCTCTAGGCACACAAAGCTTCCTGGCACCCAGACCACAAAACCCAGATGTGGATCCGAGCAGGCTGTACTAGCTAGAACTGATGTAACACACCACCACACTCTGGGTGACCAAACAGAAATTTATTTCACCCCAATCTGGAGTCTTGAAATTGAACATAAGGGGTCAGCCGGATTAGTTTCTTCTGAGGCCTCTCTCCTTGGCTTTCAGATGGGGATTCCGTGTCCGCCCATGGTCATCCCTGGGTGCCGGATTCCTAATCTCCTCTTCTCAGGGCATCAGCCATACTGCATGAGTCCATCCTAATAACCCATTTCAACCTCATCATGTCTTTGAAGATGCTATGTGTAACTATGGTCATGTTGTGAGGTACTGGGGTTACTACATTAACATAAAGTGTAGGGCATAGAAATCTCCCCATAACAAAGGTCTTGAGGTTTTTTTAAAAGTGAAATGTATAACTTCTTAAAAATACTTTATTTATTTGACAGAGATCACAAGTAGGCAGAGAGGCAGGCAGAGAGAGAGAGAGGAGGAAGCAGGTTCCCTGTTGAGCAGAGAGACCAATGTGGGGCTCGATCCCAGGACCCCGGGATCATGACCGGAGCCAAAAGCAGAGGCTTTAACCCACTGAGCCACCCAGGCACCCTGGTCTTGAGTTTTAATACAAATTAAAGCCCAAGTTGGAGAGCAGAACTGACTTATGTATTACTTATTTGCAGATATCCTCTCTGAGACACAGTAAGTTTGAGGTTGCAATGAAATCTGTTCACTCACTGGCAGAGCCCAATTCCAACTTCAAACCATCCCTCAGAGTGATTTTAACACCTAAGACCAATGGTAATTTTAAGGACCTATTTAGCAAGAGGCTTTCATTAAAGTTAAACTGTCCCTGCTCCCCTTCCCCCAGGGGACTTACTTAAAAACAAGTCCAGGAAACCAGCTCCAGCTAACAGCCCAGATACAAGGGTGGGTCAGGCCAGGTGGAGACATCCGATCAGTGGGGGGTTACATACGGTCTCCCTAGCCACCTATGAGTATGGGCCCCCGCCCTTTGGGAGCCTTTTTGGCGCCAATCCTAATCAAGGTGTGATGGGCTGGTTCAAATGTCTACTAGGGTAAATTGTAATTCAATTGGTCACCTAGCATCACTGTGGAGTTTCCTGTGTGTGTTACAATCTCATTGGCCACCTGTGCGTGGCCAGGCCCGACTGCATGGCCTTTGCCCTTAAAAGGTAGTCTGCGTGGGGCGCCTGGGTGGCTCAGTGGGTTAAGCCTCTGCCTTCGGCTCGGGTCATGATCTCAGGGTCCTGGGATGGAGCCTCGCATCGGGCTCTCTGCTCAGCAGGAAGCCTGTTTCTCCCTCTCCCTGCCTCTTTGCCTACTTGTGATCTCTCTCTCTGTCAAATAAATAAATAAAATCTTAAAAAAAAAAAAAAAAGCTAGTCTGCAAAACAGAGAAGGGTCGCTCTCTCTTGTAAGAGGTGCAGCCCCTAACGTTCGGTTAGATTCTTGATGCTTGGCACAAAATAAAGCTTTGCTTGACCTTCGCTTTGTATCAGTCTCACTCCTTTAATCACGGACCCATTATTGGGGCATAACAATAATTAAACACAAAAGGCCTTCAATAATGCATAAGCAAGAGCAACACACAGCACCCATTTCCTGGGTTACTGACTTAGAAGCTGCAAATATTTATCACAAAACTCAGGAGACCAACAAGGTCCTTAAATCATTTAGTCTTTCTCTGCAAAACATCATCCAGAACTCAAGAGGTATGGAGGGTCAACACTGGGTCATATCCATGCACTAACTTAGAAGGCAATGAGGAGATCTCAGTACACATCATGTCCACCAGAGAATGACAAAGCAAAGTGGTCAGCATCACTAAGCCGGGTGGTGACAGATGTTCATTATTGGGACCATCCAGGTGACAGAGGTGAAATGACTTCTGTCACAAAATCTGGCAGGGACTCCAGCAATGACCTCGGACACATCAGAACATACAACTTCTGAACATTTCCCAAATAGTTGGAATTTCGGGAAGTAACTCTGCTGTGGACGTGCAGGTGAACAAAGCTCAATTCAGGAAGGTGGCTGCCTCGTAAGGTTCTCTGCAGCATAATTACACGAAAGAAGGAAATACCATGTTCTTTGCCATTTTAAAGTCTTTCTGCAGTGTGAACTCTCAAGTGTGGAATGAAGACAGATGTCTGGCGCAAGGACTAGTGTCCTTCAGCTCACCCATGTGGTCATGCTCCGAGGTGACCTCCGATTTTTATGAAAAAGTATCTTTGCCCAAAACATTACCTACACTCTTCACGTGTTTCTTAGCTCAGGCTGCTCTAACAAAATACGATAAACTGGGTGGCTTGTAAGCAACAAAAATTTCTCACTTCTGGAGGCTAGCTATCTCCCATTACATTCTCCATATAGCCTGGTTTTGTGTCTCATGAGGACCAGCTTCCTGATTTATAGAAGATCTCAAAGGGTCCTCACACAATTGACAGGGGAAGTAGGCTGTCTCAGAATACTTCCAACAGGGACGCCTGGGTGGCTCAGTTGGTTAAGCAGCTGCCTTCAGCTCAGGTCATGATCCCAGCGTCCTGGGATCGAGTCCCACATCGGGCTCCTTGCTCAGCAGGGAGCTTGCTTCTCCCTCTGCCTCTGCCTGCCATTCTGTCTGCCTGTGCTTGCTCTCTCTCCCTCTCTCTCTCTCTCTGACAAATAAATAAATAAAATAAAATCTTAAAAAAAAAAAAAAGAATACTTCCAACACATTAACACCATTCATTAGGAATTCACACACATGATCCATTTTAGTATCAATTACCTCCCAAAGACATCATCTGCTACTCCTACTGCATTAGAGGACAGGAGTCAACATAGCAACATTAGAGAACAGAACCCTTTAGTTCACGTTTTCACCCACACAGACTTTATCTACTGTGTACTTTCTCATGCTGAATGAGATTAGAAATTTAGCTGAAAGATTCCCCACATCCCCACTACTCCTAAGGTCTTTTTCCAGTGTGAACTCTGTGATGATAATTGAGCGCACCATAACTGAAAAAAGATTTCCCACATTCACAGCAAGCATAAGGCCTTTCTCCTGTGTGAATTCTCTGGTGTTGAATGAATGTTGACTTGTACTTCAACAATTTCCCACATTCATTGCACTTGTAAGGCTTTTCACCTGAGTGAACCTTTATGTGTACATTCAGGGTATTTCTTTGGAAGAAGGATTTGCCACATTCACTGCACTCATAAGGCCTTTTTCCAGTGTGAAGTCTCTGGTGAGAACGGAGGAGGGAACGAGAAGTGAAAGATTTCCCACATTCACTGCACTTATAAGGCCTTTCTCCAGTGTGAACTCTCTGGTGATCACGGAGATAAGAACTACAAGTAAAAGATTTCCCACAATCACTACAATCGTAAGGACTTACTGCAAGGTGACTCTGATGATGACACCGGAGGGCGCGGCTATAACTAAAAGATTTCCCACATTCACTGCGCAGGTAAGGTTTTTCTCCTGTATGAATTCTCTGGTGTTGAATGAAAGTTGACTTATAGTTCAAAGATATCCCACATTCATTACATTTGTAAGGCCTTTCACCTGAGTGAACCTTGATATGTACATTGAGACTATTCCTTCGGGAAAAGGACTTGCCACATTCGCTGCATTCGTAAGGCCTTTCACTATTGTGAACTTTCTCGTGAGAACGAAGGTGAGAAGCAGTGGTAAAAGATCTCCCATAGTCACTGCACTCATATGGCCGTTCTTCAGTGTGAACTCTCTGGTGGGAATGAAGGGCAGATTTAAAAGTAAAAGATTTCCCACAATCACGGCATTCATGAGGACGGTCTCCAGTGTGAATTCTCTGGTGTTCAATGAATGTTGAGTTGACTTACACTTCAGTGATTTCCCACACTCATTACACTTGTAAGGCTTTTCACCTGAGTGGACCTTTAGGTGCACGCTCAGGCTATTTCTTCGGACAAAAGACTTGCCACATTCACTGCACTCATAAGGTCTCTCTCCAGTGTGAACTCTGGTGAAAATGGAGGGCCGAATTAGCAGTGAAAGATTTCCCATATTCATTGCACTCATAAGGCCTTTCTCCAGTGTGAACTCTCTGGTGATCACGGAGGACAGACCTTGTGGTAAAGGACTTCCCACATTCACTGCACTTATAAGGCCTTTCTCTAGTGTGAACTCTCTGGTGACAATGAAGGACAGAACTAGTGGCAAAAGATTTCCTACATTCACTGCATTCATAAGGCCTCTCTCCCGTGTGAATTCTCTGGTGTTTAATCAACGCTGACTTACATTTTAAAGATTTCCCACATTCATTACACTTATAAGGCTTTTTACCTGAGTGAATCTTTATGTGTACTTTGAGAATATTTCTTCGGACAAAGGACTTGCCACATTCACTGCATTCATAAGGCCTTTCTCCTGTGTGAATTCTATGATGATAATGGAGAGGAGTCCTATAGATAAAAGATTTCCCACATTCACTGCACTCATAAGGCCTTTCTCCTGTGTGAACTCTCTGGTGTTTAATCAAAGTTGACTTCCACTTAAAAGATTTCTCACATTCATTACACTTATAAGGCCTTTCACCTGAGTGAATCTTTACATGTTCTTTGAGGCTATACCTTCAGACAAAGGACTTGCCACATTCACTGCACTCATAAGGCCTTTCTGCTGTGTGAACTCTCTGGTGAGCACAGAGAATCAAACTAGTGGTAAAACATTTCCCACAATCACTGCACTCATACAGTCTTTCCCCTGTGTGAGTTCTCTTATGATGTGAGAGGGCAGGCATAGAGGGAAAAGATTTTGCACAGCAACAACACTTATATAACCATTCTCCAGACTGAACCCTATGACTAATCAACACTGAGCTACTGCTAACAGATTCTGCACACCCGCTACAAACATAACTTTTTCCTCCACTGTGCCATCTCTGGGGATGAAGAAGGACAGATTTGCAGCCTAAGAATCTCCCACATTTGCCGCACGTGTACTGCCTGGATCCACTGTGAGTCCTTCCATGTTGACTGTGGGTTGACCTCTGCCAAAGTGATTTTCCATATTTCCCAAACTTACGTCTTTTTCCAGTATGGTATCTCTGGTGTATGGCAAATAAGGATTTGTACCTGAAAGTTTTCCCACATTCACTGCACACAAAGGACTGTCCTCCAAGGTGGACACCCTGGTCCCGAGTATGTGTGTGTTTGGGAACAAAGGCGTTCTTGCATCCTCCCCAAGCACGACTGCTTCCACGCTGTAATGCTGCCCTGCACTGGGGGATCGTGTGTGGCTTCTCCCCAGTACGAGTGGCCTCTTGCCCCAGATGCCCTGAGCCAGACAGCAAGTCCTTCTCAACCTCTCCATAAGTAAAGGGCTTTCCCAAACCATCAAATCCCCAGCTCTTGACAACAGAGGCCCTGTCCACACGGCTTCTGAATGGTTTTGCTCCCGCGGGCTGCTCCTGCTACTCCAACTTCACACTGAAAGAAAATCGTTTCCTGCAGGCCCCACACCTCAACCGTTTCTGGCCATTTTCTTTCCCCTGGAGCTCAGCCAAGTGGAAAATGTCTCTCAAGACGGGACCACACATCTCACAGGGGTGGGTCTTCCGGGAAGACAGAGTGGCCCTGGGCGTCCCGGTCTGGGACACGCCTACAGAAGCGCTCTGTGCAAAGGGGGCCTCCTCATCCTCTGCTCCATAGCAGCAACCTGAAGGCAGAGAAACGCTTGTGAAATATGTGCTGGCTGTAGCGCGGGGTGAACCCATCACACACACGCATCTGTCTCATGGGGGCACAAGTGTATAAGATGCTTTTCCAGCAAAGGAGATGCAATTCATTTGAAGGAGTGCTTGCTGTACATTACTGGGCCCCAAAAGTTGTTGAGAGCACACTAAAAGGACAAAAAACTAGGGTATGACACAAGGAGGAGAGCCATGGTTTAAACCTTACTTCTCTTCACACAAGTTTGTGTAGGACTAGTTCTGCTGGTATTATTTGTCTAAGTACAAGGCTGCAGGAAAATCTAATCACAATAAATCTGCTGATCTTCAATGTCAGTTTAAGGAAATGTGAAGGGGGTGCCTGGGTGGGTCCGTCTGTTAAGCATCTGCCTTCAGCTCATGTATGATCCCAAGGTTCTAGGATCGAGCCCCACATCAGGCTCGCTGCTCACAGGGGAGCCTGGTTCTCCCACTCTCTCTCTCTCTCTGCCATTCCCTTTGCTCGTTCTCTCTCAAATTAGTACATAAAATCTGTTGTACAAAATTAAAAAAAAAATAAAGATGTGAGTATCTCATGGTAAAACATTTGGGGGTGAATGCTGGGGTACACACAAAGCAGTGAGAGTAAGAGGTGAGACATGGAGGCCTGAGAAGCACTGATGACCTCTGTATTGGATGTCGTGGAATTACCACTGGAGTCGAACCCAGAATCCACAAACTGTAAACAGTAAGAAGGAGAGACAGAGGTAAGAAGGGGCCATCAGCAATCACACCAAACTCTGGTTAAACAAACAAAGGTGCCCAGTATGGTCTGAAAACAGTGCTGATATCACACATTCTCCACTTCTATTCCCCAGTGAGCATACCTGGTCATGCTAGAGCATGTCCATACTATGACACACAAAGGACTCCTCCCTTTAAGCCTTCCTGAGCAACTACAAGAAGCCAGGAGGATAGAAATAATGAAGGAAAACCAAACTGTCCCAGAGCTCGGGACACTTCAGACACAGAAAAACATCTTATGTGACTGACGTCAGCAGGGTGGGATAATAGAATATACCATTCTTTTTTTTTTAAGATTTTATTTATTTATTTATTTGAGAGAGAGAGAGAGAGAGAGAGAGCGAATGCACAAGCAGGGCAGAGTGGCAGACAGAGGCAGAGAGAGAAACAGGTTCCCTGTAGAGCAAGGAGTCCAATGCAGGACTTGATCCCAGGACCCTGGGATCATGACCTGAGCCAAAGGCAGCAGCTTAACCGACTGAGCCACCCAGGTATCCCTAGAAGATACCATTCTTCACCCCAAAAAAAATCAATTCAACTGTTGTCTATGAATGGCATTCCCTCAGAGGGTGCAACAGTGTCACTAAGACTGAGCAGTACACAGTGGAGGTTAAAAAGGCACAAGCACACAGAAAAGACAACTGCAGACTGTTACCAGAGACATGGGGGGTGGGTAAGAAATAAGGGCTGAGATTATCTCTGTCAGCCACAGGGTGTGTGCTATGCAGTCCCTGCTCAGCAGAGCCTCCAGCTTCCTGCTCCACAGGGGACACTTGAACACCTGCCACCAACTCAACCAAAGCCTAAAGCCCAAGCAATCTTCAGAAAGATCAAAGCTGAAGGCAGCATATTTTAGATTTCAAAGTATATTATGAAGCTACTGGATTCAAAATAATAGCACACTGGCTTAAATAGAGTTCAAGGGAACAAAATACAAATTCCAGAAGTAAACATTCGTATATACAGTCAGCTAATCTTTGGCAATTATGCCAAAGGGATAATTGGGAAGAATTCTACACTAGGGAAGAATAATCTCTTTAATAATGTTGTGAAATCTACCGGGAGCCCCAGGGGGCACATTTGGTTGAGCTTCGACTCCTGGTTTCAGTGAGGTAGAGATCTCAGGGTCATGAGAGCAATCCTGCATCTGTCAGCTTAGAGCCTACTTGGGACTATCTATCTCCCTCTCCCCGCCATTATCTCTGTCTCTCTGTAAAATAAATAAATGTTTAAAATACTGTTTTGAAGGGCGCCAGGGTGGTTCTGTGTTGAGCACCTGATTCTTGGTTTCACCTCAGGTCATGAACTACCGGTTTTGAGATAAAGCTGGCACCGGACTCCACGCACACTGCTGAGTCTGCTTTGGATTCATTTTCCCTCTTCCTCAGCCCCTCCCTGCTTGCTCTCTCTGAAATAAATAAATAAATAAATCTTTAAAAAATGGTAATAAAATATTGCTGTGAAATTTAAATATCCAAATGAAAAAACAATGAAACTTGATCCCTATCCTTTTTACAAATGGAAATGAAGTTGAAATTGACTACTTAAACATATGACCTTTAACCCTAAAACTCCTAGGGAAAAAAAAAAGCCTCCTTAACCTTATTCCTCCCAGTGATTTTTTGAATAGGACATCTAAAACATACACAACAAAAGCAAAAAACTACAAGTACCACCATATCTAATTGAAAAGTTGCATCACAGCCAGTGAAACCCACAAGAATAAAAAGGATGTACAAGTGGCTAACACGTGCTCACAATCACGAATCTTCAGGTAAATGAAAACCAAAACCATGGGAGCCTAGGGGGCTCAGACAGTTAAGTGTCTGCTTTTGGCTCAGGTCATGATCTTGGGGTCCTGGGATCAAGTCCGACGTAGGGCTCCTTGCTCAGTGGACAGTACTCCCTCTCCCTCTATCCCTCCTCCCCCCTCAGGCTCTTGCTCTCTCAAATAAGTACCTTAAAAAGCCAAACCAAAACATCCCAAAACCACAAGATATCACCTCGTACCTATTAACATGGCTATTACCAAAAAGACAAAAGGTAACTTGCTGGTCAGGACGTGCAGAAAAAAATGACATCGGAATACTACTGCTGCTGGGAATGTCAAGAGGGAAGTCATTATGGAAAATATTAGGGAGGGGTGCCTAGATGGCTCAGTGGGTTAAGCCTCTGCCTTCAGCTCAGGTCATGGTTTCAGGGTCCTGGGATCGAGCCCCACATCGGACTCCTTGCTCAGCGGGGAGCCTACCTCTCCCTCTCCCTCCGTCTGCTTACTTGTAATCTCTATCTCTCTGTCAAATAAATAAATAAAATCTTAAAAAAAAAAAAAAAAAAGAAAAGAAAATATTAGGGAGACCCACCAAAATCTGAAAATATAACTGTGCTATAGTCTACCACTGCCATTTCTAGGTACATATCCCAAGGAAACAGAATCAGTATCTCCACAACCAATCCGAACATGAATATCCACTGCAGTACAATTCACAAAGCCAACAGATGGACACATCAGTAGATGTGTATGAGTGTTTAAAGCGACAAAGAAGGGATGCCCTGGCTGGCTTAGCTGGTAGAGCATCCAACTCTTGATCTCAGGATGGTGAGTTCAAACTCCAGACTGGGTATGGAGTCTATGTAAGAAAACACAATAAAAAAAAATAAACTGTATTTAAATGAAAAAATAAAGAGACAAAGAACAATTAGGACACACACGTACATGGGCAGGAATATTCAGCCATAAAAAAGGCAACATTGCCACTTTCCACAGACGAACCTGGAAAACATTATGCAGGGCCAAATCAGCCCCACAGCAACATACAAACCTTGTATGGTACCACTTATATGAGCATTGCTTAAAAGAGAAAGAAATCAAACTCACTGATACAGAAAGTAGAAAGCCAGAAGCTAAGGACTGAGGGAAGTGGAGCAACGCCAGTCAGGGATACACACATCCACTGATAAGATGAGTAAGTACAACAGATTGATTACAAATGTTAATATTGTATTCTATACTTGAAATTTGCTAACAGGGTAAATACTAAGTTTTTCAACCACCACCAACAAAAAAGGTAATTATGTCAAGTGATTGTGTGTTTTAACTTCACTTTGTTAATAATCTTTTTTTTTTTTAATTTTATTTATTTATTTGACAGACAGAGATCACAAGCAGGCAGAGAGGCAGACAGAGAGAGAGGAGGAAGCAGGCTCCCTGCCGAGCAGAGAACCAGACGTGGGACTCGATCCCAGGACCCTGAGACCACGACCTGAGCCGAAGGCAGCGGCTTAACCCACTGAGCCACCCAGGCGCCCACTTTGTTAATAATCTTATAAAGTAGGGGTGCCTGGGTACTGCACTGGTTCTAGCACCCAACTCATGGTTGTGGCTCAACTTGTGATGTTTGGGTTGTGATACTGAGGCCCCGCCTCGGGCTCCACTCTCAGCAGAGTGTCAGCTTGGGATTTTCTCTTCCTTTCCCCTCCACTCAGCTTGTGCACATGTGCACACAAACTCTCATGCTCACTCTCTCTCAAATACATAAATAAAAAGAAATTAGAGGTGCCTGGGTGGCTCAGTTTTTGAGCATCTGCCTTTGGCTCAGGACATGATCCCAGGGTCCTGGGATGAAGCCCTGCATTGGGCTCCCTCCTTCTCCCTATCTCACTCCCCCTGCTTGTATTCCCTCTCCTGCTCTCTTTCTCAAATTAATAAATAAAATCTTAAAAAAAAAAAAAAGAAATCTTACAGTAGTCTGTTTAAAAAATTTTTTTAAAAGATTTTATTTATTTATTTCACAGACAGAGATCACAAGTAGGCAAAGAGGCAGGCAGAGAGAGAGGAGGAAACAGGCTCCCTGCTGAGCAGAGAGCCCGATGCAGAGCTCCATCCTAGGACCCATGACCTGAGCCGAAGGCAGAGGCTTTAACACACTGAGCCACCCAGGCGCCCCCTGTTTAAAAATTTTTTTTTAAAAATTACACTAATCTTGGGACGCCTGGGTGGCTCAGTTGGTTGAGCAGCTGCCTTCGGCTCAGGTCATGATCCCAGCGTCCTGGGATCGAGTCCCATATCGGGCTCCTTGCTCATCGGGGAGCCTGTTTCTCCCTTTGCCTCTGCCTGCCATTCTTTCTGCCTGTGCTTGCTCTCTCTCCCTCTCTCTCTCTCTGACAAATAAATAAATAAAATCTTAAAAAAAAAAATGACACTAATCTCAATGTATATCAATTTATCATGTAATAAAATTCCAATAATATAATCTTATTGGTCAATCATACCTCAACAAAGCTCATGGGATAGGGGCAGGTGGAAGAAGAGATGTAAACACTACTAAAAAAACCAAACAGGACAGGGGCAACTGGGTGGCTCAGTGGGTGAAAGCCTCTGCCTTCAGCTCAGGTCATGATCCCAGGGTCCTGGGATCGAGCCCCACATTGGGCTATCTCTGTGGGCAGCCTGCTTCCTCCTCTCTCTCTGCCTGCCTGTCTGCCTACTTGTGATCTCTGTCAAATAAATAAATAAATCTTCAAAAAAAACCAAGAACAATACAGGGCAGTCTTGAGAAGTAACCCATGGTTCACATAAGCAGTAAACATGTCCATGCCTCCAATTTCAGGCACAGGCAGGCACAGGGAAATGTCACCTAAGGGAGGGGTCAAAACCTAGACCATCAATGAGTCACGGACCTAGATACAGGGTCCCAGCCAGGGAGAGGGCAAGCAAGATGCATTCCATCAGCCTCAATGCACGACCACTGACCCGCGATCTTACCCGATCAGGGCTCAGCGCAGAGGGTACTGGGGCTGCAGGCAGACAGAAGGGCACACCAACAACTCAGGGCCAGCAACAAAAGCAACTGCCCAGAAAGCTGGGGAAGCACGCAGTGAACACAATCCACACCAGAGAAGGACAACCCTCCCCTGGAGAATGGAGGATTGGAGTCCACAGGATACAGAGTCCAGGGCAGGTCAAGGGGACGCTGAGGGCCTTACCCAGTGACGATACAAGTGCAAAGTTCTCCAGCATCACATGGTGGTACAGCCGTCTCTGAGCCTCATCAAGAAGCCTCCACTCCTTCCAGGGGAAGTACACGGCCACGTCCTCAAAGGTCACACCACACTACCATGAAAGGAAAACATGGAACCTAAGCATTCTCTCTCTGAGAACCCACCAGCCAACCCACACACCCACACCAGTCTCTCCTGCCAGCCCAGTTCCCCTCCTCAGATAAACACCAGGTCCTGGTGCCTCTAATGCTGCTCTCCTCTCACCTTCCCACCAATCACTGTTCAGTGCTCAGCAATAACACGCAGGGGACACATGGAAGCAATGTGGCCTGCAAGTCCCATCCTCCTGCCAGGATATTCCCATGGAGTCTCCCAGGTCATGCCCTCAAGACAGCCAATTACAAGCCCTGCTCTGCCAGGACGTCTTCAATACCAGGGCCCTGAGGCCCTTAGCTCACACTTCTTCTCCAGGTCTACATGATTCTGTAGACTGTACCTCTCATGTCTTCAGACCCCACAGAAGAAAGCCCACACCTTCCAAAGGATTCTCCCTTGACTCACACTTGTCCTTGTCACTTGACAACCAATGGATATGTGACAAACTGAAACAGGTTCCACTACCACCCCAGTACTCCCATGGGTCCCAACTGAGGGAAAGCCTCAAATGCTGCTGAGAAGCCTCCTCACCTGCCTCTAATCCTCCCTGCAGTACGACACTCACAACCACTGTCAACCTAGGGTGCTCCTACACCGTCTTCTACTTCTCTGCTGCCCATGCTGGCCCTCGACAATCAGGAACCAACCATCCTCTACTGAACCTTTGTGAAAACCCTAGCACTAAGGGTCTCCCTGCCAGGCACAGAGAACCACGAATCACATTTGCCCCAGACCTTTTCTGGCACGAAGACTCTGAAACACCCCAGACACGGTAAAAGCTGACCACAAAATTCTGCTGAAGCCCTAGAACACGGAAGAGAGAACAGCCCCAGTCTCACTGTCATCTTGTCTCAATCTTCGATGTCCTCAGCCATCTCTTCCAATCATCCCAAGCAACCCTGACCATCATCTGCCAGATCTTTCTCTCTCCTTCACCCATGGTGACAATGCCTGTCAACCACTACCACATTCATTCCATTCTTCCACACAACGTAGCAGGATACTGAACCTACTAGCAGCTTTGTCATTACACTCTGTGTTCCGTTCCTAAATGTGATCCAAATCTCCACCCGGGTCCACATCAGAACCATCACTTTTCAAACCCTCCATAGGAAACTTTCCCTACTGTCCCAAGCTTTGCCATCCAGCTCACTAGTTTTTCCATGACTCACATTTTTCTGACACATCTGAGACTGTAAACAAGGTCAAAACAATGTAGGACATCCCCCAGAAAAATCAACCTATGCTACCTTTAATTCAGTTAATGGGAGCTTCCGTTCCTTCAGCTGTTAGGAACTGTGAAAATCAGTAACTGCAAACTTCACTAAAATGGAGTCAGGAGGTTGCAGCAGAGGGAGCTCTCAGGCACTGCCACAGTGATCAAGGGCAGACGGAAGAAGAAGACAGTGACTTGACCTGGAATGGGCACACTCCTTCACTAGCACAGACCAAGAAAGACAGTCTTTCCCGATCACCCACCCAACAGTCAGCCACCGGGAAGCTACGACTCCCACCTTATTCCCATCGCCTCAGAGTTGGTAACAGCCTTCCCGACTTCGTCCCTTTCCCCTTAAAAAGCACGACCTCCCTCCTCTTCTCCACACTGGCTACTGCTTTGACTCGGATTCTTCGGTCCCAATCGCTGTTCCCTGTCGCTCCCACAGAAACAACATCTCTGCGGGTAAAATCTCTGCAGTTTTCTCTTCAAGCGTCACCGACCAAAAGCCCCGGGGTTCCCCTCACTCCCCCCGTTCTCCTCTCCCCTGCGACACCCACAATTCGCCTCAGCCCTTCTCCGAGGTTCTCCAACATCCAGGGGGGACACGGTGGCGGTCCCGGCCACTACCAGCGACCACCGCGAGTCCCTCCTGCTGCGCGCCCTGCCTGCGCGCTCACCCCCGGCGGCGGCGCTTCTCCGCGGCCCGAGAAAGCCCCCTGACACCCGGGTTCGACCACCTCCCCTCACCGCCAGCGGACACGGCCTCGGCAGGCAGCGACGGCGCCGGCCTCACCCGCCGCGCCGCACCCTGCTCCTGACAACCAACGCAGCCGCGCCGTCCCCCGTTGGTGGCGCGGGCCCCCTGCAGCCCCCGCCCCGGAGGCCCCTCAGCCCGGAGCCCGCGCCCGCACGCAGCCGGCCGGCGCTCCCACACGGGTCCCCGCCCACCGGCGCCTCCCTGTCCCTGTCCCGGACACCGGGGCCTGGGCCGCAGGGCCGCGAGCAGGCGCCCCGCGCTCGGGCCTTCGGGGTCTGGGTTGGGGGGCCGGCGGGGAGGGCCGGGGGGACAAGTGTTTACCTCATCCGAGTCCCTGGGCGGGGCCGCCGCCATCGGAATCGGTGCGCCGGCAGCGGGCCGGAGGGGAGCGGACACCCGGAGTGAACTGTGTGCGGCGGCGACTGCGTCTCCCGTCGCGTCTTCACGACCAGTCACCCTGACCCTGAACCCGCGTTCCGGAACCTGAAGAGATAAGCAGACGCTAGGAAAGGTAAATACATATACAGCTGGGAACGTAGCCGGAAGTCCCGCCCCCAGCGCATGCACCCGCCTAAGAGTGCCGCGTCCTGTTCCCTCATTGGCTCTGCGTTCTCCCGGCAAGGGCTCTTCCGGGTGGTGTGGCTCCCAGAACTCCCGGGTTTCCGGTAGGGCGTCCTCCACCTGGAATAAGGGAGCTTTGGTCACGTGGCACCCTTAGGGATGCTGGGAAGTGAGGCTCCTACCCACAGGGACCTGCTTTGCTCCTTGTCAAAGGCGGAGAAGAGCCCTTTTTTCAGACTTTATGACGGTCAGTTTCCAAAGTAGAAAACTATTATTTTAGGTGCTTCCAGATTCTTTTACTGATTTAAATAGCATATCATTTCGTACAGCGCTTCAAAAAGAAATGAGCTTGTGCGTGGCTAGAAAGATGTTGCTCATTGAATATTTGCACCCTCAAACATTAGAGTCAGTTTTGGACTGGTTAGGAAGAATGCAAAAAAGTCCCTGTTAAAAAACAAAAATTCAGGGGCGCCTGGGTGGTTCAGTGGGTTAAGCCTCTGGCTTCGGTCAGGTCATGATCTCGGGGTCCAGGGATCGAGCCCCACATCGGGCTCTCTGCTCAGCGGGGAGCCTGCTTACCCCCCCCCCCCCCCGCCTACTTGTGGTCTTTCTGTCAAATAAATAAATAAAATCTTCTAAAAAAAATTCAGCCCAGTACTTTGTAAACTGTTGGCTTTATTCATCCATTTGTGGATTGGGCAGTATCCCATCTGGCAAGCAGAGGGCAGCTCCAAAGCGCTACAGGAAAGGAAAGGTTTTTAAAGGTTGGACAAGAATATCATAAACAGATAAAAAGGGATTATGTCAGATGAGGTCACCTTACTGTGGGGACAAGAGAGTCTTGTTAGGAGAATCCCTCATCTTTCTTTGGGGGGGTGGAGAGACCCCGTCTACGTAGATTGTCTTTTTGGTACTAATCAGAAAATCCCTGAATGAGCTCGGAAACTATTTCTGGGAGAAGTTAAAAGGGCAGTGTGCTTTGGTATTATGCCCTGGTTTGATGACATAGCCTAGCTGAAGTGACTGCATTTGGGCCCATGGTTTCCTCTTTCACACCCTTTACGAGTCTGTTGACATTTAAGGACAAGGATGGTAGCTCACCCTGAATTTCAAGGACAGTGATGCAGTTAGCCTCTGGTTCCACACTAAAACTCTCTTGCCTGTATTGTGATTGTGTCCCATCTATTGAGGAACATTTTTAAAAAGATTTTATGTATTTGTTAGAGAGAGATTGCACACAAGCACAGGGAGCGGCAGGCATAGGAAGTAGGCCACCACCGAGCAAGGAGCCCAATGAGCGACTGGATCCCAGGACCCTGGGATCATGACCTGAGCTGAAGGCAGATGCTTAACCGACTGAACCAACACTTTTTTTTTAAGATTTTATTTATTTATTTGACAGACAGAGATCACAGGTAGGCAGAGAGGCAGTCAGAGAGGAAGGGAAGCAGACTCCCCGCTGAGCAGAGAGCCCGATGCGGAGCTCGATCCCAGGACCCTGGGACCATGACCTGAGCTGAAGGCAGAGGCTTTAACACACTGAGCCACCCAGGCGCTCCTGAGCCAACACTTTTATCCATATATTTCCATGTACTCAATTCCTTTTAGGAGTCTGACATCATCCCAAACAGTGCAATTTAACCAATGCTATTTTGGGTACTAAACACATGTTGCAATTTGCAGTTGGAGCAAGTGTGCAAAGGGAGAATCTGAGCCCTAAAATAAAGGGTTATATGAACCCGATGAACTCACCTCCTTGCTGGGAACTGACTCTTCTTTCTTGAGGCACTGGCAGTGGTGTTACTTTAGGAATTGAAGTTATCTCCAAAAACAGTGGTGAAATGCACATTTGGGAAAGCAGTTCATAACGTTTATTGAGCTACTTCAAGACAGTGGCAGGGTAGCTATGGGGAAAGCCACATTCCATCTTCCTGCACATTGATAAAAGCTTAGAAACAATCATAATCTCATAGTACTTTTAGAAGAAACCTTAAGAAGTGAGAAAGGATAGAATCAAACTGAGCACTTGACTCTGCTAGACTAATGTGGCTGGACATTATGTGGCTTTTATCTCCAAATTTTGACCTTTTCATTCTTGAAAATATTGAACAATGCTGCTCTCGTCCTTCAGAGTAAACAGCCGGTCGTTTTACTAGCAAATTGAGTTTATTCAGGAATGACAGAAGAATTTCAGGACAGCAGGGCAAAGCACAAGCAATTCTGAAGATATAGAAGGAAAGTTAGCTTTTATGAGGGTTTAAGAGAAGCATGGGGAGGTTTGCTCTCAATAAAGGTTTATTGAAAAAAATGAATTTCTAGTTGTGACAATGTTTCATTGGCTGCGTGGCCCTGGTTAGTGTGTGGTTGCTGGGGCAAGGAGAGATCATCCTTTTGGTTCAAAGCAGATTAAATTCCTACTGAGAAAGCATCCTCCCTTGTCAAGTAAAAATAATATTCCTTTTTTCAGCTGCTTATTCATTCCTCCCTGTGTAAATGCTCCATTTTATTTTTTTAATAGATCTTATTTATTTATTTGGGTGTGAGAGAGGAGAAGTGGGGGAGGGGAGAGGGAGAGACAGGGGTTATATCTCATGATCCTGAGTTCATGACCTGAGCCAAAATCAAGAGTCAAATGCTTAAGATTGAGCCACCCAGGTGCCCCATTAAAGCTCCATTTTGAATGTGGTTTCCTTCACTAATTTTAACACCACTTTGGAGACTTGAGGAAATTTATGATACCCAGAATAGTTAACATGAGAGGGAAATTGAAATGTCATGTTTAGGGGCACCTGGGTGGCTCAGTAACCTGGACCAGTTAAGTGTCTGCCTTGGGCTCAGGTCATGACCCTGGGGTTCTAGGACCAAGCCCTGTGTCAAGTTCCCTCCTCAGTGGGGAGTCTGCTTCTCCCTCTCCCCCACCCCTCCCCTTGCTTGAGCTCTCTCTCTCTCCCTCTCTCAAATAAATAAAATCTTTTTTTAAATGGATTTTATTTATTTATTTGAGAGAGAGAGGTCACAAGTAGGCAGAGAAAGAGGTGGAAGCAGGCTCCCCGCTGAGCAGAAAGCCCGATGCAGGGCTCAATCCCAGGACCCTGAGATCATGACCTGAGCTGAAGGCAGAGGCTTAACCACTGAACCACCCAGGCTCTCTCCCTCTCCCTCTCTCAAATAAATAAAATCTTTAAAAAAAAAAAAAAATATCTGGGCGCCTGGGTGGCTCAGTTGGTTGGGCGACTGCCTTCGGCTCGGGTCGTGGTCCTGGAGTCCTGGGATCGAGTCCCGCATCGGACTCCCTGCTCGGCGGGGAGTCTGCTTCTCCCGCTGATCTCTCTCTCCTCTCATGCTCTCTCTCTCTCTCTCAAATAAATAAATAAAATCATTAAAAAAAAGAAATATCTGGGACGCCTGGGTGGCTCAGTTGGTTAAGCAGCTGCCTTCAGCTCAGGTCATGATCCCAGCGTCCTGGGATCGAGTCCCGCATCAGGCTCCTTGCTCGGCAGGGAGCCTGCTTCTCCCTCTGCCTCTGCCTGCCACTCTGTCTGCCTGTACTTGCTCTCTCTCTCTCTCTCTGACAAATAAATAAACAAAATCTTTAAAAAAAAAAAAAAGAAATATCAAAAAAAGAAAAAGAACTGTCATGTTTATTCACTGTTCTAACAAATGTGCACTGAGCACATACTGGTGTCTCAGGATTTCTGGTAGATGCATAGGAGAAATTCAGGCACAAGACAAGCAGTCCTGCCTTCAAATGTCTTGTATTATGCTCAAGGAAAACTCAGGAAACAGGAAAGCAGAATTACTGTTATATTCTATGTTAGAATGAGGTAGGTACAATGGAAACAAGGAGCACACTTGCACACTTGCTCCAACTGCAAATGGCAATGATTTTGTGAGAAAAGGAGTCCAGGTATAATAACCCACTGGGCAGAAAGGAAGCCCTTGTTAATAACAGCATCACTGAGGAAGGATGAGTCCTGCAGGTTTTATTTTCATTAGCTGAAAATTTCAAAGAGCTTATTTGTGCAAACACCAAATGCATTCAGATGGCTCCAAACCAAATTAGGTAAATGCTTTTGTACACAAGAAGGGAAAGCAAAGCAATACGTTATGTGACTGCCTATTGCTTAAGGAATTGTCTTACTTGGAAAACCAGGTGACTGTTTTGTGTGTATGTGTTTTAGGTAGGCTCCATGCCCAGCACAGAGACCAACGTAGACAACTTTGCATGACTGGGCATTTGTAGGTCTCACCATTTAGGCACTTACAAGACTTTGCTCCAGGTTGGGTTTCAGTTTGCCTCTGTAGGTGGTAGAGCATCGGAGCCACTGGCATCTAGTGGCCTCTTTGCTGATTTGCAGTTCCAAGCAAAAGAAGCCAGTGGCTGGTGGCTTCCTGTGGCCTCTCTGCCCTGGAGACCCTGGGGCTCCAGCCCTTTAAGCCTTTAACCTGCTTGGCTCACTGCAGAGACACTCAGCAGGTGTGTGTGAGAACCCTTCGCCCTGCTGCTCCTAACAGTCTGTAGGTCTACAGAGACCCTGTACTGGAGCGTGGAAGGAGGCAGTCTGGCCTTCCTGGAAAAACCTGTTTTCAGTTTCACCTCTGCCCTGCCCTCTCCATCAGCTTTACCTCAGCTCATTGGAAATGCTCATTCTCAGGCACCTGGGTGGCTCAGTGGGTTAAGCCTCTGCCTTCAGCTGAGGTCATGTTCTTGGGGTCCTGGGATGGAGGCCCGCATCGGGCTCTCTGCTCAGCAGGGACCCTGCTTCCCCCGCTCTCTCTGCCTGCCTCTCTGCCTACTTGTGATCTCTCCGTCAAATAAATAAATAAAAATCTTTAAATAAAAAAAAATAAATGCTCATTCTCAGCCCACAGCCGAGACCTCTTGACTCAGACACTTTG